ACGTGAACTATGACTCCCTTTTACTTGCAAAATAAGATAATTATGCCTTTAAATAATTATGTGTACTTTTGAAAAGTGTGGTTTGTGACCTCCAAACTATACCGATTATAGTTTATTATGTTTGTTTGTCAAGACAATTTATATAATCATATATATATATATATATATATATATATATATATATATATATATATATATATAAGTTAACATGTCTAGATGTTTTAAAAGAATATATCATATAAACTTACATCTAACACAAGTATAAGAACTTTTAGTATGATAAAGACAATTTCTAGTTTTTGACTTTTTTGTCCATGTTTTTAGAAAAATTATAGCAAAATCACCGTAAGTCGAAATTTGGATCCGTAAACTTTGAGAGTTTAGAAATTGAGTCTACTTTGTTCATAATTTTTATTATAATTTTTAGTGGTTCAAACCGGTGTGAAAATGTTCATCATCACAGACTGGTCTGAAATCATTTCTGAAATGATAGGCAGTTTTGTAAAAATCGCCATAACATGTAGAAAAATCGTATGGATTCTTGTGAGTAGTCTTTAGAAAGGTATAAACCTAAACTATTTTCATATTGAACAGTTTTGAAAAATATTAAGTTTAAGATGGTCAAAACAGTCCTCGAATAGACCATAACTTTTCTGCTGAAAGCTGATGTTTAAGTTTAGATTATGTTTTGGTGTTATAACTTGTATTCCCCCCCTAAAAATTGAAGAAAACATGAAAATGTAGGGTTATGAACTCACCTTGAGTGGACTTATTAGTGGATAAAGAGATGAAGATGAAGATCCTCAAGCTTAGAACACTTGAAGATTGTTGAAGAACACTTGAAGATGGTATTACCCTATGGATAATAACACATATAAATGTGTGTAAATGTAACAAAACTAGTATGAATGTGTATAAAAACACTAGATTAACAAGGAATGCTTACTAAAAATCCTAGGAACCAACTTGGAGGGATGGATCTTTGGAAGACTTGAACTTGTTCTTGAGAGTATTATGGAGGAATGAAGAAGATGAAGTGAGAGATGAAGATGAAGAGAGAGGGGGAGAGGTGAACGGAATTTATAGCGAAGGTAGGGTGGTGGGGTGGGTAGGGGGTAAGGGGTGGGGTGAGGTGATGTTTGCATTGTTATATGTTGGGTAATGGTCTTAATACATGATGGTTAATGTTTTATGTTGGGAAAAGATGTAACAATCATGTCACTAAGTCAACTCTTCTTAAAAATCTAGGTAATTTATAAAAGTGGGGTAACTTTTATAAAAAGATGATATTCTTTATAAAAAGTGTGGTATTTTTATAAAGAAAATATGGTATAAATGATGTATAAATATTTAATTTGAATTATAAAAATTCAAATCGTTAATAAAATCATTATTATCAAAAATAATAATATGTTACACGAAAATTAGGTTGATCCCTAAATTTTTTTCGTTAAAAGTTGGGCGATTTAGGCCGGGTATGGAATTTGTCGTATTTGGTGACAAATTCACCAAAATTTTGTATTTGTAGCATTTGTTATTAATTTGTCATGTAGTGTAAGGATTATGAATTCGACTACATCGTGTTATGAATATTATTTATACTAAAACAATATAAAATTGAATTACCGAATTGTTACGATACTAACCTTATTTAGGGTTTATGTTCTATAATTTCATATAAGAGTGGTGCTTTGTATTATAACTTGTCAATCGTACATTGGACGCATTAGGGAATATCACAATTCACCTAAAGTTCTAATACAAGTTGAGTTGACCCGGTTGACTTTTGTTGACTTTGTTTGACCCAGAATTGACAGTTGTCACATGGGTTTATGGAGTGCCAGTTTCAGTTGTTTTCGGCCGATATGTCTGTTTTGCTTCTAGGTTCTAGAGTAAGTTTCTTGAGGAGTGGGTTATTCGATTGATTTTCAGTATTGCTTATCATCAACAAACTGATGGAAAGAGTGACCAGACCATATAGACTCTTCAATATATGCTTCGTGCATTTGTATTGGATTTCGGTGGGAGCCGGGATACTTACCGTTTTTAGCTAAGTTCTCCCACAATAATAGCTATCACGCCAGCATTGGCATGCCTCCCTTTGAGTTGTTGTATGGGAGGAAATATCGGACCCCAATTTGTTGGGGTGAGGTTGGTCAGCAAGTGATGGGGAGCACTGAGGTAGTGCTCAAGACTACATAGTTATTTCAGCAGGTGCGTGGTAGGCTTCAGACCATGCAGATCAGACAAAAGAGTTATGTCGACCGATGTCGTTCCAACCTTGAGTTTCAGGCTGGGGATTACGAGATTTTAAAAGTTTCGCCTTGGAAGGGTGTTATTCAGTTCCGGAAGCATGGCAAGGTGGGCCCCAGTTTCAGTGGCTTGTTTAGAATTATCTCCCGTATGGGCAAGGTTGCGTATCGATTGGATCTACCCGCCGAGCTTAGTCAGATCACTAACACATTTCATGTTTCTCAGTTACGGAAATGCTAGGCCGGTGACTCCGCAGTGGTTCTGTCGGATGATATTCAGGTTGATGAGCATCTGATCTATATGGAGAGACCACTTGCGATTCTTGACATAAGGAAGAAGACCTTGCGCAACAAGGTGGTAGGTTTGGTAAAGGTGCAGTGGCAACACCGGAAGGGTTCCGAATGGACTTGGGAACTCAAGGAAGAGATAAAGGAGCATTACCTTTAATTGTTTGCAGCAACGGATTTCGTAGACGCACTCTAATTCAAGTGGGGTAGAGTTGTAACACTTAGATTCTAGTACGAGTTCTTTATTAATATTTTGTTAAATTCGGGTGGGCACGACATGGTAGAAGGATTGCCAAGATGTGGTATCACTTGAGGAAAACATGCAGATCTTTGGGTCACCACAATGTGGTGACGACATTATGGAAAACCCTAAATTTTCGGGCTTTGAGCCCTATTTAATAGAAGTAATGGCTAGGGTTTCCCCCACCTTCATCCTCCATCACTTCCAAAGAAACCTTGATCAACCCTAGCTTCCCTTTAAAGTTCTTGACTCATTTTTTATGATTGTGCGATTTTGGAAGGAAGAAGAAGGAACTCTTGTGCATATATCAAGCAAGCAAATCGGTTCCACTCCTTGTATGCATCTCTTGGACTCCTTGTAAGACCTTAAGTTTCCATATTTTTGGTTCCCTTTTCATAGATCTAGGTTATTTAGCATGTTTTGTCTTATAAGTGAGATTTGGATGGTTAGATGAAATAAAGTTTGCAACTTTATGGCTCACCTTGGTCCCTTTGTCATTATATCTTCTCGATCTAGAAGTTTGATGAGTTTTGGAGCCATGTATGAGTTGTATATCATTTTCTCATTTTTTTTGACCAAGTTGGATGAAGGACATGCATGGGTCATGCATGTCCATAAATTTTAAAGTTTTATGGACCATTAGGGTCCCAAGAAGCTTACTGGAAACTATAAAAAAAAGGGCTTAACGGATTAAGGACTCAATCCATTCAGTTGTCCAAGTGTAGTGACCACGACGTGGCGAGAGGGTGCCAAGACGTGGTAAATGAAGGCTTCACAACTGTTTTTTATGGACTCTTCCACAGCGTGGTGGCATGCCTGCCACGGCGTCTAGACTCTGCCACGACGTAGTAGTGAATTTTGATGGTGAATGATTTGGATAGCCACGACGTGGCCATGGGTTAGCCACCGCTTGGAGACTTTTGACCATTGATTTTTTTTACCTGGTCGACTTTTTCTCAAATTGTTAGTTTTAGAGTGTTGACTAAGGTCTGACCTTGGGTGTTTCGTTATGTGGGTTGTAGCACTGGTTTCACGACTATACAAGATATGGTATATCTGATTTCGTGAGTGATGTGAGTTTCTCACTATACTGCGTAGGATGATAAATTGTCTTTGTGACTCTTTAATGCATGTTGGGCAGGCCCGTTATGTTTGGAAGGGCCTGTTATGTGAGCGGGGCATGATATGTGGGTGGGGCCCACTATGAGGGCGGGGCAGATTAGTCGTGTGGGCGAGACCGGATGTTATATACAATATGTGGTATTTTAGGTAACTCATTAAGCTTTGTGTTTATGGTTTCGTTTTTAAATGTTTCAGGTACTTCTGGTTCCAAGGGGAAGGGTCCGGTCTGATCGCACTGCGTCCCCCGAAGTTTATTTCCGCATAATCTATTTTGGTTTACTCTGATGTTTGAGAAATACATAATATTTTGGTCGGTTTTTTAGCAAATGATCGTATGGTTTTGGTGGTTTAAAAATGAAAATTTTTGCTAGTGTTTTGGGACGTTACACGAAAAATATAGCTTACAATCGGTTAAAAATTAAATACAGAAAAAGGTGTTTCTATGAATTGGAAAATTGATGTATTTGTCGCATAAGAAAATGCTTATCCTCTTTGTAATTCTAGCATTTTGCTATCTTTTAATGAATAAAATTTTATTGGTGTTCAAAAAAAACTTATAACTTCCAAATTCAAAATCTTTGAAGAATAGTTTAGTCTTCCCTCTAAAACAAAATCATATCCATAACCATTCATCTCTCTAATTTGCAAAACTCAAAGGAAACCCATAATAGTTTTAGTTCCTACTTTATAAACCAATATTAAATAGCCTTTACAAGTCAATTCAAGGTACTTAATTAGAAAATTTATACATGTAATTACTGCCTTAAATTTTTCGCAAACTTTGGCCTACTCCAACATAATATTTAATAATTAAAAATAATTAATTTTCAATAATGTAGTTTAAAGGTTTTATTGGTTTAACTTTTGTATAATTAATCAAACATCTTTGGCAACCTTAACTATAATGATTTCACCTACAAATCCTCATTTTGTGGATGTTACACATTAATTATGTTGTGCCATTTCTGTTAGCACCTATGGTGAGTTTTTCATCATGTATAGGGAAACATAGACTCTTAGTGACATTGTTTTCATGAATGACACAATCTATGTGCAATTAGAATACATTTATTTTGTCAATAATATAATATGATATAAGATTGGATTTTATTGAAGAACGTATTACAAGTGTCAAAATGTGTTATAAATACTTGAACATAACATGTTTATTATCATATAGGAACTATCTGAGCCTCTTTCATGCTCCAGGCATTTAAAGTAGAGATAGTCACACTTTGCGTGCCATTGTTAAATACATAGAGCTCAGCTTGTTCGTTAATCGCTAGCTTCGGATAAACTCTAGCGGTGATACAAGAAAGTCCTTTTCCACCAAAACTCTCAACAATCGAATGGTCTATCTGTAAGTTTATTAAAAAAAATATATATTAGACCCACATAATATAGTAAAAAAAAACATGAATATATGTTATAGGTCGCATTTATTTTTTCTTTCATTAAGCGTTATATAGATACTTCTTTGTCTAAATTTTATTTAAATAATATTTGGAAAATGATACACGTGAAGAAGAATTAAATGTCCTCGTACTTTTTCTTTCAATTTATCTTCAATCCATGTGAAATAATGACAAATGTCACATTTTGATAAAATTAATAATATTTTTAAGACATTTGTTATTATTTTTATATGGGTAAGAAGATAAATGGGAAGAAAAGTAGAAAAATATTTAATTTCTCATGAATCAAATGAGGTCATTTTTTTAATAAATTTTGACTTAATGAGGAAAAGCTTCATTTCCTTTACTTTAGTTATTAAATAACGATTTCTACAATATGTTAAAAAGAAACTTGAAAGTTTGCTTCCCCGGAATAAAATATAGCCAATATTAAATTAAATTATGTAAAGAACATTATAGTATCTAAGAAAGATATATATATATATATATATATATATATATATATATATATATATATATATATCACCTAGGAAAATACACAACGTAGGATTTACAAAGTCTATATTTTCATATACATAAGTGTAATGTACTATAACGAGGGTTTCAACTCTTATATTGGTTAAAGGTAGCTACTATGATGGTCAATAGGTATGGGCTAGATTACAGATCTTAATGATTAAGTGGATAAGTCTCAATTCAATGAGTTTCATTTGTTACTAGAGGGGGTTCAATTATTGACTGAGGTGGATAGATGGTGGTGGGAATTGGCAGATGATGGCATTTTTCTATTGAAGACCACCCGAATGTATTTAGAGCAGTTTACTAGATAGTGATAATGGCATGGTATGGAATCTTTAGCTTCCTAGGAAGGTTAGTGAGGAATCATTATGGATCATTTGCCCCTAAGAATGAATTTGGTTGCGAAATGAGTGATTATTCCTTCAAAATTATGTTTTTAAGTCAGATGGATACCGAAAATTTAGAGCATTTATTTGGGGCTTGTGATATTGTTGCTCGTACGTGGACTTTTGCTTGTCGATTCCTGGGGATTCAGGTCTCGTCGACCCTCTCGCATTTGGTTTTGTTGGTTTGGTCGGACTCGTTGTCTTTGTCGAGGTGAAGATGTCAGGTGGTAATTCAAACAACATGGTGGGTTTTATGGAGATATTGGAATGACTTAGCGTTTGGTAGTGTGAGCATTCGTAAGGAGATTATTTTTGATTTTTGGATAGATTATTCCTTTTTGTGATTTTCTGGTAGAAATCGTAATTTTCATATTTCTTGGACGGGTTGGATTCAAAACCCTTTACTTTCCATGAAATCTCCTTTTTCTCTAGCATCTTGATAGTTCTTTTGAATAAATAGTTTTTCAGAAAAATGAGGGTTTTAAGAATATAGGATAGTAAGATGCTTAAAACGATGATATGTAATATATGGGGTGCAATGGATTGAAGAATAATGGTTTTGGTATAATAACATGTATTATTTGGAGACGTTTAAAATTTTGTATATTAAATTAAATGTTTGGAAATAAAAGTATTAAACAATTTCTAAAGAAGTGAGTTTTTATGTAAGAACATATATAGTTAATTAATGAGATTCGACTTATCAATGGAAGATAAGAAGTAGATTGTCGGAAATTAACAGGATAAATTGCAATATTTTCTTTGTCCTATATTGATCGGTGGAAGAACTAAAAGCGGATTTAAATGGTTTATTTAGGCTTAGTCCTTTAATTGCTTTAGTGGAGGTTAAGGGATTGACCATGCTCACATATAAGCTTAGTCGCCTTATGGACTTGAGCTTTCCGAAATAATAGCCTTCACCGGTCCATGTTTTTTGGCAGCCTTAGGTTTTCTACGACCATGTTTTTGGCAGCCTTCTAGGGTTTTCATGACTATACATACAACACTCCTGAAGTCTTATTCTTCACCCCAACATGAAAACTTCCCAGAGGGTCACCCATTTCAAAATTTCTCTCGCTCGATCACGCTTTACCATAGAGTTCTTATGGGATATGTTGTCCACACGACTATAAAACATATAGTGTTAGGGAAGGTACCCACATCATTATAAGGAATATTTAGTTCTCATTCCCAATCGATGTGGGGTCCGATGAAAGTAGATATCCACGTTCACCATGATTTATAGGATTCGACGTCCTTGTCAAACACATCAACATGTTCCCTAGCTCTAATACCATCTACAACATCCCCTAAGTACACATATAATAATATTGGTCACATTAAGAATTCCCTATCTGAAAGCAATTTATAAACTAGAAAAGTTAAGGGCTTTGAGCAAAGAGTCTACGGGTGTGTTTGGTACAGAGAAATGGAAGTGATCCATTTCTTTTGTTTGTTTATCATTAGAAATGAAACCTTGAGAAATAAAATACTTCCAATTCCACCTTTTTTATTCTCTACTTAAAATAGATAGAATGAGAGGATTGAAAATTTAAGCATAACATTTCTCAATTAAGAAAACTTGGAGAAATGCAAAAAAGGGCGGAGAAATGGAAAACGATACGTCTTGTATCATCTCCATCCTACCCTCTCCCTGTTGTGATTTTTGGCTACTCCTTTACTAATCAATTTTGATATAGCATCATCATATTAGTGCAATTGGTTTCTTCCTCTTTGTCTTCTCATATTCTTTGTCCCTCTTCGTCATTGGAGAAACTAAAGAGTTTGAGAACAACCTCTAAAGCATTCTTAAAACTAAAGGGATTCAACATTAGATTAAATAGTCATATCGCATGTACCAATTTCTCAATCGCTAAGAGTTTATTCTATTAAGGGAGAATGCCTATTGACAATAAAAGTTGTCAATGGATCTCCCATTTTTTCTATTGTTTAAGACATTTTTACATCTCAAAGGCTACATGGATATTGATCTATAACATGTGAATATTTCATTACTTTGTACCTGGTAATAGATCATGATAACAAGGATGTGGGAGTTAATGTTTGTTAGATTACACATAACATTTTTTATGGAATTCCTCAATGAACTTGTATCCCATGTCTTAAGCAATTAGACATTACATTCAATTTGTTTTACGAATAGAGACGAATATGTTGATACATCACTAAACTTACGCAACCAATCAACTAAATGTTGAGACGACTGAGAGGGATGTCAAGATACTAGTCTCGAAAGGAAAAAATTATGATCTGAAGATGGTGACAGTTGTTTCTAAGCCATGTGTTCTTGGCAAACAGAAAAAAGTTACTTTTGAAAATAGAGGCAATCAACTGAAGTCTGGGAAGTTGGATTTAACTTATTTAGGTGTTTATGGTCCCACTTTAATCTTTTTAAGGAGAGGATCTCAATATCATACAAGACCTATCACTTCTCAAGATATAGACATAAGTTCTGAAAGCAGTGGGAACTCCGATAAACCTTGAGATAGTGGCAACATAGGTGATAGCGGTTTAGAGGGTGAAGTTGTAGATGATGCAAAGATCGAACCTCCTACTATCCAAAGATCCACTAGAGAATGAAGTACTCCAACTAGGTACTATCCATAAGCTATTTACTTGTTGATGTTTGAGAATTATGTACACGAGTCAAAACCAGAGGCCTTAAGGATGAAAGATTCCACATAGTAGGAGAAGACCATGGAAGACGATTTGAGCACACTACATAATGGACAGAGATTTTGGGTTAAGGATGAGATAGATGATAGTAAGACACGTAAGGTAGAGGTTGATTCTACAATTGCAAAGATGACAACAATCAGATCAATCTTATATATAATAGCCTTTAAAGATCTCAATATAAGGGAGATAGATATGAATAAACATATGCTCCTTGATAACCTAGCAGATGACATCTACAAGGAAAAGCTAGAAAGTGCTCTTACAGTTGATAATAAAACGTCTGTGTCGAAGAAAAGAAACGTTTGTATGACATGTAAGAATTAGTACTTCAAGTTTGATAATTTCATGAAGAGGAGCGGGCATTGGAGATTTCAGGTGGATCATTGTTATTACCTAGAAAATTTTAGCTCCTCCAACATAATCCTCATGTTGAATGTTGATGTCATGTTAACTGTTGGTTCCGACATGCTGAATATCAAAAAGCTTAAGATACATTTGTGCAGAGCGTTCAAGATGGTGAACCAAGGGGCTACTAACTTGATGAAAGTCCTTAGTACGGTGATCTCAGCACATGAATATACCAAGGTAGTTACCACTAAGAAGTTGAATTTGTGCATGTCTTCAACTGTACTTCAAGGATTTTAAGGAATGTGTTTGGCAGTTAAGAGAATGATTAAAGAATGATGGAGAATTGAATGGAAGATGAAAACTAAGTTTCTTAATCCTTTAAGTGGAGATTTTTGAGATGTGAAGACTTGAACAAAGTTTCTCTTGGTATGCAAAGGTGCTCTTGGTGCACAAAGTTGCTCTTGGTGCGCAAGGGTGCTCTTGGTGAGAAAATATGCTCTTGGTGCGCAAATGTGCTCTTGGTGCATAAAGGTGTTATTAGTGTTAAAATGTGCTCTTGGTGAGAAAATATGGTATTGGTGAGCAAAGGTGCTCTTGGTAAGAAAATATGCTCTGTTAGTGATTCAAGAATGCGTTGTTAGTGAAGTACTCAATGAGAATGTGATCCTAGTATCTATTTACATGTGCTCCTATGATGCGTTGGGGTAGACATGTTGCACTCCTATGTGCATGGCATGTGGCCATGCACATCTTTGAAGGTTGAAGATTCTAGAAGAACTTGCATGGTATCATGTGATTGGTTGAGAATTAGGGCATCCACTTCATGGGTTAATTATGGATGGGCATAGCCATCAGAATTAGGGTTTCCCATCTTTTCCCATAAATAGGCACATGCCCCTTCATTATTCCTTGTGCCAATTTTTGTGAGTGTGTTCAAGAGATCAATCACTGTCAGGTTGAGAGCATATCCTATGGAGTTGTTTATAAGCAAGATAAATTCTTTTGTTTGAGAGCTCAAGTGAGTTGTAACCTTTTGTGAGTGATTGTAATTGTTCTTAGAAGTTAACAAAATACACTCCCTTGTTTGTTTGTGGATGTAGGTCAGATTGACTGAACCACGTTAAATTTTTTGTTTAGTTTTTGTAGTTTTTTAGATTATTTTTTGTGTTTTATCGAATTCGTTTATCGTTGGTCTAAAGTGCTTAACTTGCTTTATTCAATACCCAATATAATCAATATATTATTCTAAGATCGAGTTATAGAGCCATTTAATAAAGTAATATAAAATAAGAAAAAGGAAATTGCAAATGAACTTGCTGCAGTTGAAAGTCTTTTGGCCAAAAATAATGACATTCCCTCTGTGTCATTTGCAATGAGATATTGAAAGGCAAAATAGCCACCAATGTAGATGCTATTATACAAATCAAGCATTATATATATATTTTTGGAACCAAGGGGTATATAACGTACCAAACTTCTTAGTCGGATCTTCTCATGGAGGGGGTCCAAATCAAGGAAAGCTCCATAGATGCTTTTGTCTACATCCTGTGCAATTGAAGACCTGTTTTCATAGCATAAGTAAGCTTTCTAATGATTTTGACATGACAAATTATTTCATATTTCACATTTGACCTAATTTATGTAGAAATGATATTCCAAAAAAACATATAGTGTTGTGTCCCTCTCTAGGACTAAAGTATACAACATTTTTAAGATAACAAAAGTAACAAACACATTTATTTTCAGAAGTTTTTGTAATAGTGCATATAATAGTTATCAGCTTTTACCAATCTGCATACCAATTTTTCATTATTTCATCATGTATAATTTACAAATTATGCAACTATGAAGTATCATTGCATATTATGTATAAAAAACCACTTTGTTACATACATCATGTAATAGGTTCAAGAGTAAATTACACGAATGGTCCCTATGGTTTGGGGTAATTTGTATGTTTGGTCTCTAACTTATTTTTTAACTCGTAAGGTTTATACTGTTTGTTTTTGTTGCGCACTTGGTCCTTGTCTTACCTAAAAAGACTATTTTGCCATTGATTTTTTAATTTATTTAAATAAACACACCCCAATCTCACTTTCACCTCACCATACCTTACCTACCCCATCTTATTTAAATAAATTAAAAAATCAACGGCAAAATAGTCTTTTTAGGTAAGACAGAGACCAAGCGCGCAACAAAAACAAACTGTAGGGACCTTTTGAGTTAAAAAAATAAGTTAGGGATCAAACGTGCAAATTATCGAAACCATAGGGATCATTAGTGTAACTTACTCTAGTTTAAAATACAGTACATGTTTAACCTTATGTTTTTTTTTTTATAAATATACTGTATTAATTAATGTATTAATATGTTAATCGGTTAAAAGATTAGGGGCTAACCTGCTTTGATCACTGCACATTAGTACAAGGAACTTGTTAGGACCTTTAAAAACTCGAAAAAAAACGGCAGTTTGTTCAGTCAAGTTCTTTGAAGCCAAAATTAGCAAACCGAATGGGCCAAACCTCCCACTGATAGACGCATTCTTTTGTGAACAAAGAATTTGGGGATCGATAGCTTCTGAATCTATCAGTTCAATTTCGCTCAAATTCGTCAAACTAAAAGACACTTCAACATCAGCCTGAAAGACAAGTTCCATTACATGATGATTAGTAAAACGATATGTCGTAATATTAAAGGACTTCATTCACGCACCTGTGATGCAGTGATGCTTGGTATTTTGAGTAGCACACTGCCCGGAAGTTCTCTGTTTGTGATATTAAATCGTTTTGTACGTAGTTTATGTATTTCATCCACCGGCCACTGTACCAACTGTTTCCGATTACTGCTAATCCAAATGCTCCTAGGAAATGACTGAAAAAATAAAAATGTTATAGAGACTTTATTGTATGCATGTCCGAATTGACCATACTTTTATTACATGGGAACATAACTATAATAGATAGCATTGGAGAAGTTTTTTTGTGATATTAGGACATCTTTTGCATAGACTATGCAAGATAGAGATCTAGTGAGTGTCACTTTCATCAATTCCAACTTTTTGTGTTGGGTAACATTGTGCGAGTCGGAATCCAGTGTATGAAAAAAGTAGAATGGGCTGAAAATATTTACCTGAAGGCCAGACCACCCTTTCTTGACATCATCTGATTGACTATCACCTTCATTAACCCATCCCCATAACACCCTTCTCTGATTCGCACTATCATAAAATGATTTTGAAGCATAAAACCTTCCATAATCATACTGAAACTGCGTGTTACTAACCATGAAGTCATTACCAATGACAAAAAATTGATCTTTTATTGGATCATAATTCCCGATTACATAATACTCTCGGTTATTGAAGCTTGCTTTGAGAACATGAATTGTGTTATTCCCTTCAAAAGATGTGTCAAGACCCTTTTTGTCACCACTACTAACGGGATAAAAGTCGGGACATTCCCACATACCCGTTTTACTAGAAAAATATAAAGGATTTTTGGATCGAGTCCAGCTTGTACCATTTCTACTATGGTACAATAGTGCGGTTCCATGCCCATTGATCTCACTTCCGATCACAATCCTCCATTTTCCATCAGGGCCGATCCAAGCCGTTGATGGATCTCGAAATTGTCCCGGTTTAATGTCATCAATTGGGGTTAGCAAAGGGTTACCCGACCATTTTATCCAGTCTTTTAAAAGAGGGTCGGAGAGGTTTTTGGGGATGGCCAGGTTCTGAACCTGACTGTTGTTTAGGTCTTGTCCGGTGTATAGAATTATGGGCTGAGGCCCAGGTAGGATAGTGGTTGAACCCGACAAACAGCCATTGATGTCATATGGTTCTTTTGGACTTAGAGCGGGTTCAAGAAGAAACCAGTTCAGAAGATCATATGAAATGGAATGACCCCATGATATATTACCCCAGAGTGGACCATATGGGTTGTATTGGTAGAATAGATGATAAACTCCATTGAAGTACATTGGACCTTCAATATGCATGAATAGAAATACAAAAGTATTTAGAAAATGTATGGTGATCAAAGTATGACTTTTTTTCTTCGATGAAAGTATAAGACTTACCATTAGGATCTGTAAATTCAACAGCAAGCGGTCCAGATTGATATATCATGAATGTATTCAAGATGAACAAATGATCAGTACATATCAAAAGGTTAAATATTTATTTATCTTATTATTTCATCTTTTTTCATAATGTATCTAGCTAACAAGCAACTACGTTTCAATCTAGAAACCAGAAGATGAAACTAACATTAATCGGTATCAATGTGAAACATTTTTTGCATATATACTAAAGTTATGTCTGGCACGGTAACGCTTTATCAATTAATTATCTTAAATAATATAAACAAAATTCTATTAGTTAAATCCAATGCTTTATGTTTTAATACAACAATTAATATTTCGACTACCTTAGCTAGTAGAGTTGTGAAATTTCTATAAAATAAAATTTATGGTTCAAAACCTCACATACACAATATATCCATAAATTATATAGCCCATGAAGTAATTTGGTAAATATTTTTAAAACTATACCTATTTGGTAAATAAAATTTTAAAACATGCCTATTTGTTAAAAAAACAATAAAATAAAATAAAATAAAAACTCTAGTTCAACTAGCTTTTCTTTTCATGTTTATTAAGTGTGAAGATTTATAAATAATTTATCACCATACATTTCTTCATCCAAGCATATGATGCTACACACTTTGAAGTTGTAGACTACATACAATTCATTGAGCTGTTATATTATATACCGATAGAACCAGTTATAAGGGTTTAGTTACTAAGAAATATTAACTTACATATCTTTAAACATATAAATAAATAAATAAATAATAATTAAAAAAAAAAAGGAGTAATGATTTGATTACTAAAATACGTTGTGTTTTTTCAGAACTTTTCCTAATAAAAATATCAGGATTTTATATATATATATATATATATATATATATATATATATATATAATAGCATATACTGTCTTTAAAAATTGACTACATATAGTAAATTTTGAAATGATGTTTTATACGTCTCTACTTGGTAATACAATTCCAGAGGTAACGTTAGAGAAAATCAGAAAATATATACCGTTGATCCAGTTTTTGGGAGGCTGGAAATGGAAACCAGTCCTGTAAGGCTGCAACTCGTCTGTAGGTGAATATGCATGAACTCCAACACCATTCAGAACCCAAACTAAACAAAGAGAAAGGACCCAAACGCAAAGAAGTTCTTTTACCCATATTTTCAAGCACATTGCTCAGTATTAAAATGGCAATTTCAATAACTCTTCCAAATGATCATTGATGAGAAAAAGAACGGAGAATTATGTGGTTACGTCGTTTAGTGTCGATATATGTATGACTTGTATTTATAATCAGTAAACGAAGAAGTAAAAGAGAATTTTGATTACTCCCAGTCCCTAGATGGACAAATATCACCCACAATGAATGCGCTTCATCTTAATTATATTGGAAGAAGGAACCAGTCGTTGTCAAATACTTTGGTGGTCACACTCATAATGCATAAAAAAACAATGCTTCAGCCCTTTCTGACTTTTTACACTCATAGTGTAGAAGTTTAAAATAAGTGACACCATTAAATTTAAATGAATGTTGAAACCAGTCAAACTTTAAATTGATTTTTGTAACTTTTACACAATAAAAAACTACGGCCCGCATGAACAGGTCACGAAAATGGGACTTAGGGTGTGTTCGGCAAAACTAGCTGGTAGCGGGTAGCTTGTGGCAGGTAGCGGGTATTAAATGCTACATGAAGTATCATTTGAATTTGGAACGTTTTGATTAAACTAAACGTTAGAAATCTATAGTGTCAAACGAGGCTTTCTGTTTTAAGCGGAGCGTTTTCTCAAACGCTAGAAGCTAAAAGCTCTCAAACGCTCCAAAACGCTCTGTGCCGAACACGCCCTTAGTAAGACACAATCTACATTATCCTTCTACTTTTATTCCTACATATCTTCCTATCCATTTAAAATGATGACAAATATACTAAAATATTATTAATCTTATCCAAATATGACACATGTCACCATTTTATATTGGTAAGAAGATAAATAGGAAGAAATTATAGGAGAATATTTAATTTTCTCATCTACAATTTCCTCCATTTAAAAGCTTCAAATTCAACATTTTCAATTTTTGGGGTGATTTCGATGATATACGTCAAACACATGATGTGTATGGTCACATGATGTGTATGGTATGACTCGTTGTAAGACCCATCTATTTTATGGGTTAATTTTTTTAAAAAAAAAATGCTAAATAATGAATTGTTATAATGGAAATGTTTTTTTATCTTTTAAATTTAAACAAATAATTTAAATAAAAAAAACTAATAAGCTTTAATTTTGAGAAATTTGAAATTAAAAAGTAATTCATTAATGAAATTGATATCTATTTATTACTATATTTATTGCAATTATTATATTAAAATATTATGTGAAATTTAATAAAATAAAAAAACTCATAAAATGACATGTGGAAAAAAATTAAATTAAAATAACAACAAAATGACATTTGACAAATTGAATGAAAATGTGACAAATGGCAAAAAAATCATTCATTTATTAAAAAGGATTATCATTTATTTTAAATATGTAAAATTTTAGTTGTGTACGCCAAAGTGATTCGTATAAGAACAACTTCTAACTTAAAATTTATGAAATACCATTACGAATTCTTCTTTATAGCATGTTTCAATTTTGTGTTTTGCTTTCACTCTTCCTCAAAAACTATCCTTCTTTTTCAGTGACTAGTGGCTACACTAGGTATGAGAGTTAAAACTAAAAACCGTCCCCGTATCGGGTTTGTTAATTGGTCTTCTCTGGCTTTCAAGTAATTTGTTTTTGGAGATTTCGGGTTCAGTTAGACCGGGTTTAAGAATAGGAACTAGTTTTAAGACAGAATTGGTTTAATACCGGGTTGGGATTTTATGATGCTGATTTTTTACCTATGTATATTTGATACATTGTATCATAAGGCCTCATAAAAAATAAATAAAAAATAAAAAAACTTCTTGAATCAGGCTACTAAATCATTAACGTGTCCTAAGAGTCTTTCCCTTTTATTTTAGAATAAATTATTGAAATTATCTTATGGTTTGGTCAAAATTGCACGTTTGCTCCCTAATTTTTTTGCATTCGGATCGTCACTATGGTTTGATTTGTTGTGCTTTTCGTCCCCATGGTTCGGTAAAAATTATATGTTTGGTCTCTAACTTTATTTATGTAAGGGACGAAAAATGCAACAAAATCAAACCATAATGACGATCCGAATGCAAAAATTAATGTTAGGGATTAAGCGTGCATTTTTGACCAAACTATAGGGCCGAATTCAGTAATTACTCTTTATTTTATTTTATTTTATTTTATTCTTTCGTTAAGTAGTATTTATTTACCAAATGGGCTTTGGTCTAGCAGTAAGAAATGACTCTCTCAAATAAGAGGTCATGAGTTCAAGTCTCATTAGGAGACAGATGTAATGTTTAGGATTAACTTAGAAGTACGATAGTTTGCCGTTTAAAAAAAAAAAAAAAAAAAAAAACTAGTATTTATTTATTTATAATGGTAGAAGCTCCCCTAATATATATTTACACATTTATATAAAATAAAAATCAACATGAATGATACCAATTTTTATTTTAACAAAATTACATCATTACTCTTTGCTTATTATTTATATTTCTCTAACCGAATAAGGTTCATCAAGCGCAAACCCCAAATGCACGTTCTGCATCTTTTGTACTATAGACTTTAATGGAAATTATGCACATTCTCATTCATACTTGACGATAGTGATGTCAAGGGTCAACGACTTCTTGATTGTCTATACTAGTAAATGTGTTGTCGAACGCGATAGACCCAAACCAATTCCAAAGTTCAAACAACAAAATTCTTGGTTTTTCGGGTCCATACAGGGCTAAAACCTGAAACCGGCCCCAAGTACCAAATTCTGATTCCGACCGGTTTTATATCCACTTTATACGATCCGATACCCATAAATGTTTGTTTTATACTGGTCCAGTTCTTGGGTTTTATATAATCCATCAGTTTCAGTTTCTGGATCCGAGTCCAGTTGGGTCGGGTCCAGATGTAAGTGAAAAACAGATTGAGGCGTGAAATTTGAAGACGTTTGAAGTAAATATTTTGTAAACTATCTGAACTAAAAAACAAAAATAATGCATGTCGATCATCACGGGCATCTCGGAGCTAGTGCGGAGGTGGGGAAAAACATTGTGAAAATAATCAAGTTGCCTTTTGATTTGTGGAGCCCAACTTACATCATTTTTTAATATGGATGATTTCACCACATCTCTAGAATGGTTTTACAACGTCCAATTTGCATAATATATTTAATTGTTTTTATGTGTTTTTGTAGTTTATTAGGAAAGTAGACGATGAAAAATCATATTTTATATATATATATATATATATATATATATATATATATATATATATATATATATATATATATATATTATGGGGACAAGAGATAAAAACGAAAATGAGATGAATTATACAAAGTTGAGGGATTAAAGTTGCACTTTAGACATTGACATATCTGGACATTGTAGATTTATAATTGTACTATTAGCTAGTGTGACTTTGACCTTTTTTGTTGCCTATTAGAAAAGTAAAGGATGAAAAATCATATTATACTACGGCAGGGGGTGTTGATCGGGTAATTTTTTAGGGTTTCGGGTAATTCGGATCGGATAATTCGGGTTTAGGTAATTTAGGTATTGGGTCGGGTTTGGGTAATTCGGGTATTACCCGATATATATATATATATATATATATATATATATATATATATATATATATATATATATATATTTGAATGACACCTGAAAATAAATTTAATGAAATAAATATGTCGTGTTCTATTATTCTTGTTTATATAAACAAACGAGGCATAAACAAAGTTATTTAAACTTTGAACATTGAAATTTTTTAGTCAATTATACTTGAGATATCAAGTAATCTTTTAACAATTTAATCTAATGTAATAAGATTTAAAAAAAATATATTTAAAGATCTTAGTTTAAAAGTTTAAAATATTTAAGATAATTGTAGACATAAGTGTTGTCATGTTATTAAGTTTCGTCAAAATAATGAGTTTGTTAGTTGTAATAAAAACTATAATCTAAAAAGCAGTTAAGTTTTAAAGAATATGGTGACATTAAACAATTGTTTTTAATATTGTTGGTGTCATACTGTCATGATAAAAGAGATTCATGTTTTTACAATAATGATAGTTAGTTTAAGCGTGATCAAATATTGGTTACATACTACAAGCTCAACGAAAGAAAAAAAAAGGAATTTTTAAAATAATTTGGTAATTTGGGTATACCCGAAACCCAACAAATGTACCCTATACCCGACCTGAAAAAAATCGGGTTACCCGAATACCCGAAAAAATTAACCCGATACCTGATTTACCCGATACCAAAAAAATTGGGCGGGTAATTCGAGTATCGGGTATTTTTGACAGGGCTAACTACAAGGACGGGGGATAAACACGAAAGTTTAAAAAAAAAAGTGACATTTTACAAAGTTGAAAGTGAAAGAGGGTGAAAGTAATATTTTAAAAAGTAAAGAGATAAAAAAACATCATTTTGTAAAATATAGGGGTTGTAAGTGACAGATTATACAAAATTGGCCGATTAAAGTTATATTTTATGCAATGTATTTTTAACTACACTACATTCGCTCACAAACCTAAAGTTACAATTGTCTCTGTGTGTGTCTATATATATATATATATATATATATATATATATATATATATATATATATATATATATATATATATATATATATATAACTGGTTTTAAATGTAATTATAGCCTTGTTAAACGTTACCGTATGCGACCATGTTAAATCTGACGGAAAGCACTGACGGGACGTTATCTTGCTAGGGCCTTGGCCGAGTCTCATTCTTAGCCCGGACATGCCAACGCCAGGATGACAACTCACTTTCCCCCACGAGGAAGAATATTCCTCGTGATCCTCTCATTCTCTCATGACCAATCAGGTCATGGCAAAGGGCCTGATGACGCCCAAAACTGACGTCACCTAGCTGTTAGACGGCGTGAACGTACTTCTCCCAGTAGGAAAGTGTCACGTCTCACTCCCACATGGGGAGAGTCACCCCATTCCGTTAGCAACAAGTATAAAAGGATCCCTCCCTACCCAAGGAAGGGGATCATCTTCTTCCCTATA